AATAATTTATTTATTAATATTTTAATAATTTTATTTAATATTTTTTTAAAAAAATAAAATTATATAATAATAATATTTTATTAAGTTATACATATTTTTATAATTAAAATATTTATCCTTATAACCAAAAGTTAGCCTGACTTATGTCCTCACTTATGTCTCTATCAACTACTTTAGGGACCCATCTTTAACCTCAGATCCTTTGATCTTACAAAACTCAGTTACTGGCAAGCTGCTCAACTATTCGAATATAGCTTTAATTTCTTTTTTGATTCTTCCCTTCCAAAAATAAATTATCAAGACCTTTATAATAAATGTAAAGAACTTATCAAGATGAAACTACCTGACCTCCCAACCTCACCTGATTTAATCCTCATCTCTATCAAAATCAAGCTTCCTAAAGCCATCCCCATCACTTCACCCAAATATACAAGAGAAATTGTACAGTGCCTTAGAGCGTACTACAATTTTGACCTGCTTTTCCCTTCATATTTCATTAAAAGGTCCAATCTTCCAGAGAACCCATTTCATTTGAAAGTTGAAGTACAAGACATTTTCCCTCTGACAAAGAGAGCAGATCTTAGAGCCTTCCAAACACTAGTCGACAAACTAAGAGAGCACTATTACGTGCCAAATAAGCTTCCTGAATTATACTTCTGCTTTCTGTCTCCAAAGGAACCCCTCCCTCTATTCTATAAAGACCTTCCAAAAAACATGATTGGTTACTTCCCAGTAAGTAACAATGTTGCTGACATTAAAGAAGCTGTGCAAATTTTGAGAAATGAATCTTATACTTTAAAAAAACTACCAGCAGACTACATCATAACCAAAAGACCTTTCCCACCAGTACACTGATACAGTGAAAATTATAGAATTATCCTCCCTATTAACAATCAAGACAAGGTCAAAAGTTTTATTAGGCAATTAAAAACTAAATTCTTTTTCAAACTTTTCATTGGACCTGAATGGATCAAGAAAGGTTTAATCCAGAGTGAAAAGCCTCACATCCCAAGTAACTTTTCTCAAGTAGAAGAAAAGCTCGGAATAATCAGTGACAAGTTGAATAGAGAACATCCTGAATTCGCTGTAACTGATAAAATAATTAAAGAGAAATACTTTGGTCATATCCCAAAAAAATAGATAATACTAATCCTATCAGACCTTCCCAATCTTGAGGAAGCCCAAACCATTCTCAGATCTGAAAGCAGTACAATAACCCTTCCAATAATTGAAGATAAATTACTCACAAACAAACTTAATGCCCTTAGGAAAATATTCTACTTCGAGAAACTACTGCCAAAATTTCTAATTGAATCTGAGTCATCTGACCCAGTCTGACTCTCTTATCAAAACTTATATAAATAATGCATACAACGATTAATTCAAGTCATTCATTGTTAACTAGTATATCAACTATCACTCTCTTGTCTTCTATACCTATTACATCAACCCATTCTCAAACAAACTCTATTACAACACTCCTTAAAAATCTCATTACATTATCTACCCTCAATGTCAGAGGTCTTAATGGCAGTACAAAAGTATCAAACTTACCAAGTCTATTATAAGTGATAGATATATCTTTTGCTGCTCAGAGACAAAAATCACAAAATCAAAACCACTTCCTATATTTCTAAATAATATTATAATCATTAACAGCTTATCTAAGGATTCTGTCAGCAATGGAGCAGCCATTCTTTTGACTAAAGCTATCACTAATCATGTCTTTAAAATCTTCTCCCTTAATGTGTTTTGATATGCAATCCACCTCAAATTTAAATCCAGAGTAGATATTATAATTCTCTTATGCTATCTTCTCCATAAACACGACCTCAGGAAAATAGCAGTTAAAATCCTAAAGGACTTTATCAGAGAGCACTCTGGTAAACACATCATTCTTGCAGGAGACTTTAACACTTACCCCTCCTCTACTCCTATATATATGCTCACATAATAGCTCACAAGAGACATACTGTATATATCTATATCTCCAAAAATTCATTGACATTGATAAAATAATAAACAATGAGTATAAGTACACACATATCACAAACAACAGCACTTCTAGAATTGATCAAGTATGGATCACCAGTAATCTAGCAAGCAAAATACTTTTATATAAAGTTCAGGAACAAATGGCCATAATCTCTGATCATAAACAAGTAACTATTATATTGAATTGATTTAAATATAAATCTAACAGAATCTGTTTCAACATCAATATCTATCAATTCAAGGATGCTACTTTAGAAACCATAAAAAGATTCAAAGAGGATATTGAACTCACATATCTAACAAGCAATACTCCAACCTGGGACTTTATGAATAATGTCATTAAAAACTCTCTTGACAATAACATTCCAAAGCGAAAGTGCATGACACCCACCCATAACATAGACCCTCTCAAGCATTATTCCAGTACCATAAGAGCCATCAAGAGAGCAATTAATGCATCAAAAAACAATAACAGGGAAGATGTCTTCTCAAGACTTCCAGCTATTGTCTCATCAGCTTTATGAAAAATTACTAGTAATCATTCCTGTATCAAAGACCTGCAAAAACTGCAAAACTTTAATCAAGGAAAAATTATTTAAATTAAACAATATTATTATTCAAGAAATACAAAAGGATATAAAATCGAATTATTATAGATTTTGTACTAGGCCTAAAAATACTCTCAAAAAAGCATTAGGAGATCTGAGATCCTCTTTTGACCTTTCAATTATCCTAGGAGAAGACAACTAACTCCACAATGACCCTGACAGGCTTGCAACTATCATATTCGATCACTTCAAAAAAATTTTAGACCCCAAATCATTTGTTATTAATAATGAATAGTTAGCAGATTATGAACCATTGAACCATATCCTTGACAATACCTATAATAATCCTGTCTCAACATTATCTATGCAGGATCTGAAAGAAACTCTTACTGACCTTCCCAAATGTAAAACCCCCGGGCTCACCTTTATTCCTTATGAAGCTTGGATCCAAATAGATCCATATGCAAAAAAAATCATCTTAGCTCTATTCAACAACATTCTAATATCAGGTCAAATTCCTAAATTCATAAAACAATTAGTCATTACAGTATTACTCAAAAAACTTGTCTGGTCACATGATCTCACTAACACATGCCTGATCTCGTTTATTGAAACAAGCAGGAAAATTTTCACAAAAATCACTAACAACAAACTTGCTAATTATATTTTAAGGCATAAAGCTCTCTCGGAATCCAACTTCACTGGTCTCAAAAACTAAAGTACCACTGAGCCAATCGCAATTATTAGCTTATGCATCAATACTGCTAATAATCTCAACAAGGAAATATAGGTAGCATTATTCGACATCTCCAAAGCTTTTGATTCTGTCAATATTACCAGCCTCAAGAAAGCAATGAATCATATCAAACTGTCAAACAAATTCATATTACTTATTACTGATCTCTTAAATAAAAGAGAACTGAAAATAATAACCTATTATAAACTTACCAAACCCCTAAAAGTAAGCAAAGAAATCGACCAAGGTGAACTCTTAGCTCCATTACTTTGGATCATCTTTTATGATCCTGTAGTAATCAAAATATCCACTGAATACTTGCCAACCTTCAAAATCCTTGCTTACATGGATGATGTCACCTTAGCAAGCTCTAATATACAAGTTCTTTAAGAAGTAACAAATATTTATTGTTCCTTATTATCTCTCAATTCCATTAAATGCAATCATAAAAAAACTGAGTTAATCACCAATCTCAAAACATCCAACCAAAAAAGAAACCAATTTCTCACAGTTGAAGGGGAAAAGATCTACCTTAGACCATATAAGGAGGGCATTAGATACCTTGGAGTTTATCTCTTGGACAAATTCTCATCTTGTTCTATAAAAAATAAGCTATTAGAAAAAATCCAAAAGTTCACTAATGCAATTTTATCGCAAAAAGGATGGAATGGTTTAATAACTAGACAAGCTTCTCATTGAATTATATTAATACAATTAGAATACACTATCAATGCTGCAGTTCTATCAGATAATGAAATAGTCATCCTTCAAAGGAAAATGAACAAACCAATTAAAGCAAAATTAGTTATCAAGCATACTTTTTTCAACAAAATTTTATACTCACCAGCAAGCTTTAACATTGTCAAACTTCAAAACTGTCGTGATCTCACCACCATTAAAATTTTGACAGTCATACTCACCAATCCAAAATCTTTCCCGTCACTTCAAGAGAAATCATATCAATACAAGCTGCCCAAGCAATCTGGTGCTACCCAATCTGTTTTTCTTATTACTTTACTAACTCATGGATAATATCAGCAACCCTACTAGTTAAGAGATATAATATCAGAATCTGTTCACTCCCCTGCTCTTTTAATTATACTAATTATGAGAACTCAATTGACTTAAACATCAAACTTACAAAAGCAACTGCTCTTTCACTATATTACTCTAATATTAAAACTATCCAAAATACATACATATATAAAAGAAACACTAAACTAACTTGAAAAGAATTACATATATACAGAGGATAAATAATACCTGGCACTATCTCCAATTGGTTCACTGCTATCCCAGATATCTTTGTAACTATCTGTGGCAATACAACATTCCTCCTCAACAAAACAAAAATTAAATTTTGGACTTTTCAAGATAATAACTATATTAATCTCATCAAAGTACATATCAACACTTTTCCCTCCGCAATTATTAAAGATATTTATTATCAACTTAGCAACAAAAAATAATCTTATGTTCATGCTCAGTTCAACCCTATGTCAAGGAAAAAAATATTCACGATCTCAAATCTGTCTGGCATACTACATGGGCAAACTCAAAATATTTACTCAACAATATTCAAGAACTTTTAGATTCTTTTTCAAGTGCAATGCAACCAATCCCTCAAATAATAATCACACTATTTCTTACAACCACACAACCAATCACCATACATCTATATCACAACTTAAGCAACATTAACTTATCAGTTATAAAGCCAGATCTCACTCTTACATATATACTACACCTCAACTTTTAGGTCATTTTTTGGCCAATTCTCTACTAAACTCTTACTGACATCTCACAGTTATCAACAATAAATATATATCTAAATACAATTATTAACACAAATATCCCAGAATATATTAACAGACAAATCAAAGTTCCCTTTAGTAGGATTATTAATAAATGTAATATCATTATAGCAGCAAAAAATCTTATCATTCTGTGGCACAAACTGAGCAATCAACAACCACCTCCTGACACCTCTTCTATAATTAACACCTCAATTTCCCAATGCTTCCCCTTAACATTCTAAACCTTGCCATTAATTAATAATACACATGCAACTAGCATAACAGATTGGATCAAATTTATAAACTATTATATCAACTTATTTGACATATTCCTTAGCAAGTCAGCTACCTACAAACTCTCATTCTTCGCGAATCTGGAAATCATCATTAAAGCTAACAATAAACTTAGAAATATTGATTAACTCAAATACAGAGCTCTATCCACCTTCAGGTCCAAACTCTTGGCCAATCAACTTTCAAATAGAGTCAAGCTACATAAGCAAAACCCATATTATTATCTTGACAACATCTGCCCTAAGTGTAATGCAGCCCCAGAGGAATTATCACATATTTTTTCTTGCTCTTATAACAAATCTCTACTCAATAAAAAGAAATCAAAAATTGAAAACCTTATTCTAGATTTCAATCCAAAACATGTCAAATCCACTGATTTTATTAACACCTTTATATTAACAGAAAATACTTTGCTTAACTTAGTCACTTGCAAATTCAATCCTCCATTTGATCTTCTCCAAAAAAAAGACATTATTTCCAATTATA